AAAAAAATTAAACAGTACCTTGATTCTTTTTCCCAAAGCTGATAATAATAGTGATTCTTATGCTGGCCTGGTCCAAATGGTGAATGTCCAGTAGCAACTGTTAGTACATGTTTCCCACAACCACACATGTGCTGGAAGGGCCGGGAGAAACCAGCGGCGTAAGTCCCTAAACTGGCTTCCTTCGTTCCTCCGCGGGGGTGTTCTGTCACAGGCAAGTGGTGAAGGGGACTGAGGGCCAGGAATCTGCCAGATTCCGTGTTGCAGACTGCTGGCCCCAGGCACCTCACGGTCCACGAGTGACGGGCGCCACAGGAACGCAGCCAGGGATTCCAGCCCAGGCCCCTCGCACAGGCCAGCCATCCCCGCACCTGGGGTCAGACACCTGCTCACACCTGTCTCGGTGCCCACAGGTGGATGCGTGGCTTAGGGACCCTGGAGTCAGGCCTGCAGAACGTTGGACACATGGCTTTACATTCTAGAACCTCGGTTTCTTCACCTATAAAATGGGGTAATGAAGTACTGACACAAAATGAAGATTAAAGGAAGTAGCAGGTAAAAAGTGCTTGGTTGACATTGCGCCTGGCAGGTAACAAATACTCTGTGTCAGGCAAAATGCTACATCCTCCCATGTGGCTAGCGTTAAGACAGAAATAAAGCCTGAGGCCACTTATCCATTCCTCCTTGACTCTCCTCTCAGCATATCATTAATTAATTAATACATTTAACAAACATTGATTGACTGCCATGCATATGCCAGATGCTGTGCTGGAAGCTTCCCAACGGGAGTGGGGTGTATCAAAATACTGATCCCCGGATGCTCAGGGCAGTGGGCGTGGTGTGGGGGAGGGAGTGCCCGGTGACCTTGTCGGTTCACCCCCCTGGACAGTTTCTGTGTGCCTTGTGACAAAAGCCAGGCAGCACTGAAGTCATGACCATGAGGTCGAGTTTCATGTCCTCGTGGAGCTCATGCTCCAGCGGGGGACAGGACGTGAACAAGTAAATGGGGCTGCATATCACTGCCTGCTTCAGGGGTGCGAGGAAGGGGCCATGTGCAGATGAGAGCATCGGGTGGGGCGGGCTGGGGCATTACTGACAGCATCACTACAGCTGGTGTCACTTTGGGGGGACTTTTTGGTAGGAGACACTACAGATTGGCTCAAAAACGTATGAAAACTAGTTTGCCGGGAGACGGAAAACCTGGCTGCTATTTTTGGCTTTGCTGCTAACCCACTGTGACCTTTGACAAGCCACCACTCACAGGGTCGTGCATCCCCATCCATATACAGAAGGTGGATGGATTATACCAGTGGTTCTTAATTTTGGGAGTCACGTTCCTCCCCGAGAATCTGGAAAGTGTCTCTCAGACACGAATATACAGAAATTTATTTATCTACAATGTCAGAGGTTCCCTTTAAACCCCCACAGATCCTTGGCAAAGAATGACAGGCCTCCGTGACCTCAGATGTCCTTTCTAGGATGATGGTTTTGAGTGGGGTCATGCCTGCAGGGTAGGCACCCCCAGGAGGCCCTCTAGATGAGGGTTGGGACGTAATGTTTTGGGTTGAACTACTCAAAAGGGCCAATCAGACTTGACACAAACCTGTACCAGCAGAGCCCAGGCAGGTTAAAAAGTGGGGTGTGTGTGTGTGTGTGTGTGTGAGACCACTGTGAGTGCAAACCTTACCATGCAGTGCACAGGCTTGGTGTGGACCTTCCAGCCCATCACTCAGCAGCATTGTGGCCTTAGGAAAGTGACTTAACCTCTCTGAGCCTGTTTTCTCATCTCTACAATGAGATTCATTCTATCAGTCTAACTTGATTAACTTCAAGATTGTAAATGATAATGTAGTCTACTCAGAAGGAGTAGCTTTGGACAAGGTTTCATACGGCCACTTAACCTCTGTTACCCTGTGAATGCTTATGAAAGACTGCAGGTGTTCTAGCTAACTGATTTCAATTTGAGCATCACTTGGAACTCCATCCATTCTCTTGCTTTATGGATAATGGACTTTGTACTCGGAGCCCGAAGCCACTCCCCCCTTCACTATGCCCAATGGGAAGGGAGCCAGTCAGGTGACCCGAAGTCTCTCCGAGCACAGGCAAGACAGAGGCCAGACCTAAGGGAGAAGCGGGAGGAGAAGGGAACAGGGAGGGTTCCAAACCTTGCAGCAGTTAAATGTTAATATAGGTGTCGGCATAGGAAGTGTCTTCTAATGACAGAAGGAAGCGAGGGAGTTTTTCAATCATCTCCTGCTTAACAGATACAGATGTATTCATAATTATCCCTTGCCTCGGGCTTCAAGGCCCAGGTGGGCCCCAGAAGGCCTGTGTTCCTGCCAGACAAGAGTCCTTAAAGAACATCATGTAGACAATTGGAATGCCATTTATCGTGCAAAACACAATAAAACCCTGAGAGCTCTTCCTGTCTCAGAGACCCATAAATTATGAAAATTATACCTGCCCTAGGCCATGGACATATTGTTTTATTAAAGTTCTGATGAATAAACTTAAGGCTCTCTTAAAAATGTCCTCTCGGCTTTCATCTATAACACACCTCCAGCACGGAGCTGTCTGCCTGGGCCCATCTGGTTAGTCCACAAATGTTCTTTGGAAAGTTGAGTCCATTTCAAGTTGCAGGTTCAGCAGGCTGGAGGGTCCAGCTGGGGAGCTGCAGGAGTGGTTTGGGGGCCTCCCAGCGAGATGACAAAGATGCCAGGAGGTTTTAGTTGTCTGCCATTAGAGGTGGGGACCCCCGCTCCAGACCATTCTTTGTGGGCTGAGTGCCAGGTCTGTGGTACCCTGACGGGGTGTGCAGTTTACGGGGTAGAGAGGGTTGCGTTTTTCTCCACCCTTATTTTAAAATTTGGTCACTGAGGAAGAGTCTTTTTAGTCCACCCTATGCTTTTTCTCCAAATGGCAATGCTAAAACCTACAACTCTTCCTTTTTCTTGCCTACCCTCAACCATGTATTATTAGGCATGTGACAACTTCTGTGACCCTCAGTTTCTGTGCCTCTAAGTGGGGACAATGGTATCTGACGCGCATGTTCAGTACCTGGCACGAGGAGACTGTTCAACAAAGTCTCAGCGTTCTCATTACCCAACAGCCACTGCGTAACTGGGAACCAGGGGGCCAAGGGCCAGTCCAGCAGACAGGAGGAAGGCACATGTGGAATTTTCTCTGGATACCAATTAAAAAGACAAAACAAAGCAAAAACAAGCACACAGCCACTCAACTCCCGTTTCCCCCAAGAGCCCAACGCCCTGTACAGGTTTTTGCTATTTCTAGTCTCCCAACACTAGAAACAGAAAGGAAGTGAACCGGGCACCTTCCCGTCAGGAAACCCGAGACCGACCCAGACCCTGTGTGCGGTGTGAGGGCTCCCGCTCTCCTGAAGCAGAGCGCCCCCAGGAATCGTTTCCTCGGCCAAAACGGCATAAAGTGAAGAAGCAATTACCATTAATTTATATGGAAATTTTTTTGAGTGCTCTCAGACCCAAAATATAACCTACTAAATCATACCAAATACACTTAATTATGTCCAATTTTAGGCCAAGCAAAAACACTTACAAGTTCTCTTAGGAGTTTTCTGATACCTTAGGACATGTCTTACTAACGGATGCATGAAACTAATAGAGAATCGCACAGGTGCCCAAAGCCGCGTGCTGCCCAGATGCCCAGCGTGGTTCCCTGAAGGCGCCAGGGCCACTCTGCCTGCTTGGGCTTTTCTCACCGCGCAGGGAGTGGGACGCCTGTCAGTTCACTGCAAAACAAACACTGAATGCTATTTTCTGTTCGCTTTTCACCTTTTTTCACAAAAACAAAAATCCTCTTCCGATTTCTTTCAGGTAGCCAAAACAGGTACTGTTTACAAAGTGCTGTAAGGCAAACTTTCTAAAAGGAGGGGTTACCTGTAATTGGAACTGAGCCAATTAAAAAGCATCCTTCAGTGCCAGGTACTTACCTCATCAGCAAAGCAAGACACCCGAGCACTAATTACCCCTCATCCATCCTGCGGGAATGGGACAAGCCACGTGGTCTGGCCAAGGGAAGCCGGCCGATCTTCATTCTCAAGTTTACAGAGCAGGCAAGACCACACCGGGGAACATCCCTTGTGCCTTTTTGGGCAGGACCAGGGTATTCTTGTTGAAGAACCTGAGGCTTTCATTGTTGGAAGCCACCATGACTGGTGATACCAGAGAAACCCACACTGGACACAGGGGTCTTCTCCCTTCATCCCTGTGCCCCACCCGCCCAGGGGCAATTGTCTGCCCCTACTTATTGGTGGAAAAAAAAATTGCTCAGTTCCTTTTCTTTCAGAAAACAGGAGGCGTGTATACACATGTTCAAAATAAGTCCAACTTTTGTTGTAATTGGCATGTGAGTTGAAAGAATGAAAAAGTTCCCCCAGCTACACAAACTGAGAAGGAGCCAGGTCTCTACCACATTTGAGTGTTTGGGGAGCTGACAAGGTGCGTTGTGAGGGCAAAGGGGTGAAGGCAAGACACTCGGTGGGTGGGAGGGACTGGTTCAGGGCAACACCCGCCAGTCTGGCCCCGGCGTGCATTTGCCACCTCAAAGTGTGTACGTTGATGGAAATGTTTTGGGGGCTAAACTAGGGCGTACAAGCTGCAGAACCATGTAAACTACACAAGTTAGGTGATCCTTCCCCACCTCCAACACACTTTCCTGTTCGAGTTTGGCCACCCATCTGTCACACATAATTGCCCGTGTACGGGAGGGCTTGGGGGGTGGGCGGATAGCACCTGGCGGGGTCCAGCTTCCTGAGAAAAGGAAGCATTCCTCCAACGGTTCTCCGATCATTCTAGAGGCAGGGGAAGGGAAGGCCCTGGCCCAGGAAGCCCTCTCTCGCCAGTCCCCTTGTTCTGCCAGAGCCTGGGTACACACTTCCAACTAGTGAGTCGTCTTCGACAAACATGAGGCCTTCCTTGCTGGGTGACATGTAGGGGTCATGAATGTGCACACACACACACACACACAAGAAACTGCAGTCCTGTGTATATTTAACAATATATATTTATATATATTTTCTAGATCAGTACATTCAGTTTTAACTTGTTTTTTTCTTCACAAACAGAAGAACTCTTACAATAGTAGACTTTCTAAAATAAATACTATTAAAATAGAGCTTCAAAATAAATATTCTATACAAAGGGAACCTTCTGGGTAACTTGTGGGGTGAGAAGGGACTACAGTGAAGAGGGTGAACGAAGGGAGCGGTGTGGCGGGACGGGAAGCCCGGCCGGCTTTCCTGCTGCAACAGGAAGCCTCACTGGGGGCGGTGGGAAGAGAGAGCAAGGTAAGACACCACACGGGAGTTACCCACAGCAAAAAAATGGCAGCGCAGGAATTGTCACCAACTGTCACAGTAAGCAGAGGGCATGAAGATGCTTACCAAAGGAATGAACCAGAGGGCTGGTGAAGCTCACAGATGCTGTAGTGAACTGAGTCACACAGTGCAAAGTCGTGCCACCCACACCCTGTCAGGCATCCAGGGCAGTGTGGGAAAATAGGAAGCTCCAAGGTGACCGAGCTCCAGGTGCTGGCCCCAACCAGCACTTTCTGTGTTGTGCAACCCCGGACAAATCACTATCTGACGGGGTCTCATTCCATCTCCATGTGCAACAAGGACCCACGCAGACTGCAGGATGCTGACTGGCCTAGATGCGTCACCCAAAGGTCTTCCATCTTGTCAGCAGGGGCTGGTCTCCACCTCCTTCCAGCCAGAGACTGTCAGAAAAGCCTTCGCTGTGCCTCATCTTCTACCTGGGAGGGCTTTGCTATCCCCTACACTGTTCCCAGGGCTTTCACAGACCCACACTGGACAGGGGCGGGGTGGGTGGGGCAAGCAGCCCAGAACCACCACCCACTCCAGGTTGAAGAGAAGTGGAAACCAGCTGGCACTTTTCAAAAAAGGTTAAGATGAGGACTAGCCCAGCCAAGCAAGCCACTGGTGACAGTAAACACAGTTAGCCAGAGCAGCCACAGAAATGTGTCGTTATTACAGAGAGCTTGGTCCCTCAGTGGCCCTTGACGGGTCCCCAGGCAAGCGAGCCTTCACACGCGGAGAGACTGCTACGCGGCAGAGCTGGGAGGGGGGGTCCAAGTCACTCCACTCTCCACCTTCACGGCTGAGCACAGAGGACACCTGGGGGTTCTGCAGACATCCATGAGCAGGCTGAACGCAAACTAAAAAGAACAAGTCAAAATGGGGGAAGAAAAAAAAGGGAAAAGAAAACCAAAACCCAGAAAAATCCGTGTTTACAACTATGTACACAAACAGTCAGGTTCAGGAGGCTGTTTGCTGGAATTGGGGTCAACGTGGGCAGAGGGCGGGCAGGAGGGAGCCTGTGTACACACAGCTTATAGGAGTCAGTTCCCCGCAGAACAGGTGTGCAGGACTCCATCGCCAAAGTGCACCTGGCCACTGGGTCAGGTCTCCCGTGGAGACACCTGAGGGAGGGGCTCGGGGAGTGTCCTGAGGCCTCCCGGAGAGTGGACTCATGCCCTCTTGTTTTGGGGGTAAGCCTCTGCACAGGAATTCTGAGGAGAACATCTCCAGTCCGTTCAGTACACATCTGATACATTCAATTAGTGTAAGTGGTTGGCTGAGTGTGTTTTCTCCTACCATCCCCTCCATTTGTGCAAGAACATCCGAACATCCATCACGACTGTGACAAGGGTAGCTATGTGAATCAGCCATGGACAACGCAGATGCAGTATTTCGTATCTGCCTTTTACAAGCTAGCAAATGTTATATAAATAAAGTCTGAAATGTAAGACCCTCCCCTCCTTCCCTCCAACCAATAAATACCTATGGTTACAATGAACTTACTCTGAATCATAAGATGTTGTTACTAGTCTTCAAGAAGGGGGAAAAGAAAGTTCTTGAGAACCACTGGTCTATGCCTATCACAGCGCCCTGCCTCCTCCTGGAAGCAGTTCTGTGCCTACAGGACAAACTGGAAATGCCACAAACGCTTTACAATTAATGCACTTCCATTTTCCCCGGGGCGGGGGGGCGCTTTCCTGACCCAGGCCACTTCCTCTTGTTGAGGGGAGGGGGAGACAGGGGACACAGAATACCACGTGAAGCAATATCCCCACACAGCAGCTGGGGAGAAGGACCAGACACACTATAGCGTTTGCATGCAACAAGTACCTACCCACTGGACGTGCTGCACTTTGAGTTCTTTAGCACCTTGAGAGGAAGAGTTGCTACGTCTCCGGGGGCTGTCCGGTGGGCGGTGTGGCCATGCACAGAAGCAGGGCTCCACCCCCAGAGAGCCCCTGGAGAATCTTTCCCCCACCCGCATTCTTCTGACTCCCCCACCAGGGCTTCCTAACACTAAAATAGACTTTTCCCCATCATCTGTCTATTTACATGAAAGGTACAGACACGTCACTGTACATGAAAGGCTACAACAGCAAGCAGCAGAACCAGAAGAGAAGAACCCAGCGCCCATCTCGGCTCCACTGCCAACGGGAGGTGCTGCATCTCTTCTTTGCTGTTAGAATCCTCTTCTTGGTGGGGAGGGGGATTGTGTTCCTTGAGGTTGCTCACCCCCCAGATTTTGAAATCAGCCCTTCCTGGGGGTGGCCCAAAAGGAAGCAAGTGTTTTATTATTTTCTAAAACACCATTAGCATCTGGTTTAATTATTCTATAAAAACATAATGACTGGATCCAGAGACCACAGCCTCAGACTCATTGGCAAAATGGTATTTGGTCTCGCATTTGCTGCCCTGGGCCTCTCAACCCATAAAGTTTCTGGAGAGAATCTGGGTAGAGAGAACTCAGGACAAGTTAGCGGGCAGGTGAGTCTGTGACTCAGAAAGAACTGGAGGATGGTGTTAGGAGCGCAACTTCCCCCACAGTGGTGGAGCTGGAAGGGAGAGGTGCTCTGTGGAGTGGCTCCTAAATCCATCCGTGGCTCCAGGAAGACAGCGAGGAGCAAGGCCTGGTCTCGTGGGCCGTCCTGTTCTCCCATGTATGTACAAGGACAGCCAGGGTCTACACCTTCCCCAAGATGCTGGGCAAACTGGGGAGAGGGAGGAGAAAAAAACAATAGCCATCAAGACTCCAGGGTCTTTTTCAAAGGCCCTCCGGCCACTCAGTTAGTGGTTCCTCCCAGGCAGTCACAGAGAGTGGAAAGGAGCGGGGAGAATGGGAGGGAGGAGCGGGAACTGGGAAGGCGTTCAAGCAGCTGCAACTTCCGGATACGTGGCCACATCTGTGTTCTGTCTTCTGGAAAAGAAAAATCCCCCCAAAACCACACCACACCCCTGCCACTCTGTTTCATACAAAGTTCCAGGGCCTTGAAAAAGCCCAAGTGCTTCTTCATCCCTTTGAGGAAGAGAGTAGGCATTGGGGGTGGGGGGCTGTCATGTTTCTTTAGAAGCTGAGGTGGGCAGACTGGCAAGGTCGGTCTCAGGACGCAGAACCTCTGGCCTTGCTGCAGTCTTCTCAGCTGGCAGAAGGGAACAAGGTCGTCAGGAGGAGTGCAGGGGGCTTTGACCCAAAGTGTCAGAAAGGCTTGTCGGGTCTGCTGGCCTTGGCATCGCTGGTGGCTGCCTTGCAGATGACGCTGTTCGTGTGCTTGCAGCGGCAACCAGGGCGACGCAGGTGGTCGTAGCCGCGCTGGGCCAGCTTCACGCAGCCGGTGGCGGGCAGGTAGCAGAGCAGGCAGGGCAGCACCAGGGAGAGGGCACCCATGAAGGACCAGCGGGCGCAGCAGTTTGAGTGGGAGCAGGAGCAAGGGTGGTCGGCGCAGGAGCCCTCATCGTCCTCGTTGGTGCAGTGGTAGAAGACACCTTGCACCAGGCACATGCAGGTGCCGTAGTTGACCAGCGTCTGGGCTGAGCACAGGCACTCCTGGTTGCAGACCCAGCAGGAGGGCAACGTCCGGGGCGATGCACACTCCTTGCACTTACACTTGCCACAGGCCTCGCACAGCAAGAAGTGCTTGTCCAGCTCTGGTGGGATTGCTGGGCCCTTCAGGTCCAGTGGCTTGCAGTGGACCACCTTGGGCTGGATGCGCACAGCCCTGGGAGAGGCCTGGTCAGCCACGGGTGGTGGCGCCATGTGATCCAAGAGCCGCTGGTCAGAGGATGTGCTGCTGCTGCTGCTCACAGAGCTGGGGCGCCCGCTGAAGGAGATCCAGTGGTGGGTGACATCCTGGTCACAGCGGGCAGGTGTAGGGGCCAGTTCCGGGGCCCCACCCCGGGTCCGCTTAGGGCCACTTGGGGGTGCCAAGCCAGGGTTGTCTATGTAGTCGTTCTCCACGTGGCTGGTCTTCATCTGGTCGATGGGGAGGATGGTGAGTGGGTGTTGGAGCCGGCTGTGGGGCGTTCGGCTGTCAAGAAGGGGCTGGACCATGACTGAGCTGGGAGTCAAAGGGACGTTCTGTGGAATTGGGGGCTCCATGGGGCTGGCGGTCCTGGGCTGCACTGAGAAAACAGGCTTCTAGGGACCCTGGGTATGGGAGGAGGAAGAGAGAATGGATTCCGGGCATCAGTACTCGGCCCATCAGTACCCCTACCCCCATCTGGTCCTCGTGAGCCCAAACGAAGTGGGAACTGATTTCCCCCTTGGTGGACTCTCCAGCATCAAGGCTTAGCTGGTCAGTAATGACAAGAACAATAACAGTAAGCGGTAGGAATTACACTTGTTTAGCACTTGATAAGTATCACAAATATCACTCTCTTCACAGTAACTGTGAAACATAACTATTATACTATTATTATTCCTTTTCTAGCTACAGCACACTCACGTTCAAAGTAACTTATCCAAAGTCACACACAAAACTGTCAGCAGAACCAGGACTCAAACCTGGGCTCTCCGAGTTCATTCTTGTCGTCTCTGTGAAACTCGCTCCTTATTTAAGATAGGTAGCCCAACGGCTGTCAACACAGGCTCCGGGACCAGATCCAAGTTTGAATTCTCCCTTCCCTTAGCAGCACTGCTGTGAATGAGGTGCTGTTCTTTGATCTCTATGCCCTAGTGTGGTCAACTGTAAAATGGGTTCTGGTGAGGATTACAGGAGAAAATATATACCTAGTCCCTAACATCTTGCCTGGTGACAGCAAGTGCTCAGTAATCCATCACCGTCCCCGAGAGAGACACAGTTTGCATTTCCTGAGCTCTGATGAGCGCTACATGCCAAGCATTGTGCTGAGGATGTGGTGACCACAAGAGACAGCCCCTGGATGCTCCCATAAAGCTTATCAGCTGGATAAACAAAGGCCTTTATTTCAGAGAGTCACAAGAGAAGGAAGGGCTGTAGCTGATGCCAGCACGTCCAGGATATTAACTTATTAGCAGCACTTGTAAGAGCAGCAACCTCCAGTGGCTAATAACCCACGGGTAGGTGCGCTTCTGACAAGCTGGATGGGAAATCCTCTCGAGGGGCACTCATATCGCCCATTTCCAAGTGCTGAGCTGAACATTCTGCCTAAATGCTATTTACTAGAATAGCTAAGCCAGCCCTGGATCAGTTTCTAATTTCACCGAGAGAGTGCAATTTTAAGTTGGAATCCCGCCAGAGATTCAACTGCAGCGCCTGACACGGAACCCCAGGAAGTCACTTAAATCAAAGAGCGGAAATGGCTTGGTTCAAATTTAGAAAGTGCACATTGTTTTCTATTAGAAGTGCCATTTCCTCGCCTGCTGACCTTTACATTCGGAATTCGGCTGGAGATCAATTTAAAGAAATAGCAGCAGAAGGCCAAGACCTCTGCCCAAGGGGACATGATTTGGAATCCAAGAGAAAGATTAGACTCTGGGAAGATTCTACCGGGGGTGGGGGTGGGGTGTGGGGGGAGAAAACGGGCTGTGTGGATAAAAAGAAAAGATACTGAGAAAAAAAGCCACAGGAACAATGTGTTATAGGGTGGGGTTTCAATAAATGCTTTTCAAGATGCTAATGAGGTTGTCATTAGGAGAGCAGACTCTGTGCCTCAGCTGTGAGGTTCATCTTGTCACAAAGGTGATGTCTAGGAAGGGGGTGTGGGTACATTTCCACGTCCCCACACCATCGCTCCAGATTTGGGACCTGGTCAGTCCGTCGCAATACAATACTCTAGTCACTGGAGAATGACACCTTGCCCAGGTGACTCGCCCATATCTCATCGTCTATAGTAAGGAGGGAAGGGGAAACAAAAAGGCACTCAAGGCAACAACAGTCTTCGCTTCCCCACTTGAAACATCGTTGTGCTAGGCAATGGTTAAATCGTTGGGAAAGGGCTTCCTTAGATGATTTCCAGCCCATCCGAAAATGGGAGCTAGCTCTAGGTGCAAAGTTCGCGAAGGGGATAAAAGGGAGCTTATCCGCAGGATTCTCATCTGTGTATCACCGATACCGCCAAACACAAAACAACCTCTTTTTGAGGTTCAGTGCTCAGCCGCTGACCCTGCCCATAGCACAGGGCATGCCCTGCTGGCTTTGCTCCCACAGCCCTACCCACCTCCAAGACGCTGGTATTTCTGTTCTGAGATTTTTTCCATCTTGGAGAAAGTCTGCCTAGTGGCAGTGCCTGTCTCCTGCCTGCATGTTCCCTCCAGATGAGAAGACAGTGTCATCTTCAACTGGAAGACACCCCCACAGCAGAGTTAGCTCTAAGTGTCTGGCAGGTCTGCCACCAAGTAGTCCATTGCCAAGGCGGCCTGCTGTGGTCAGGGCCGGATGGGGGAATGGCAAATAGGCTCCATGGAGAGGAGTTTTCTCAAGGATCAAGCTGGCCAGGAGGAGGTACTTCAGGAAATGCTACCCAAACTTAGCCTTCGCAGGGGTCCCAAAGCCCTGCTCCTAGAATAAATGGGTTTGGGGTCAACAGAAGAGAGTTAGGAGCCCCACGTCTTTGGCTGAAGGAAAAGGTGTGACTAGGCAGAAGAATGGGAAATGCTGGCGGAGGCAGAGGATAACACTGGCACCAGCCGAGAGGTGCCTCAGCCAGAACCACCACCACCCCGGGCAAAGACAATACGATTCCCTTCTTTCAGAAGCTCAGGTCACGAATACTCACGGTCCTGCCAACGAAATGTCTGTGGCGGTTTGAAGGCTGGATTTCCCCATGCTAGTGGGCTTTTTGTCTCCTAGGACCAGGACTGGGACTCGCCATGCTACGGGAAAAAGGGTGGGTGCTCCCTCTCCCAAGCAGAGGATCCACTCTTCTTTCCCCAATTCTATTTCTGGGGTTCTTTAAAAACAACCACTTTCTGTGGATGAAGCAAAAAGCATGAGCCACGCTTTTAGGGATTTTAACATGCTCTGGAATCAGAAGGCAGATTCACAGAAAAAGTCCCATGGAAAAGTCCCACCAGGAAGCAAGGGTGGGAACTGGGCCTGCAGGGAATGGGATATTGGCCTTAGAAGGCTCCCATCCCCCCCCCCCCCCCCCCGCCCGCCCCGGGCAGCCGTCGGCATCGGCATCCGGGCCTCTGGAGCCAGACTCAGGGCGGGAGTGCGGTCCACAATGACTACGCTCTCTGGGGACAGGCTGCATCCGAGACAGCTCCAGCAGGCACTTTCTAAAATGCATCTTCCCCCAAATCCAAAACACTAATTCAGAACACATATGCTCCCCCATGTTAACTGCAGCATCGTTTAAAACAACCAATATACAGACGCAACCTCAGAGTCCATCAGACTAACGGATGAGAAGATGTGGTACATTTGTAGAATGGAATATTGCTCGCTCATAAAAAAGAATGAAACCTTACCATTGGTGACAATATGGATAGACCTAGAAGGTATCATAAGTGAAATAAGTCTGACAAAAAACAAATCCTACATGATTTCACTTACATGTGGAATCTAAAAAACAAAAACAAAACAAAAAGATGGTTGCCTGATGGAAGCGGGCTAGGCCAATGGGTGAAAAAGGTGAGAGGGGTATAAAAGTATAAATTGCCAGTTGTGAAGACAGTCATGGGCGTGCGTACAGCAGTGGTGGTGTAGTCACTAACAGTGTGCAACTGGCTGTCAGATGGGCGACCTTCAGCGGGGGGTCACTCTGTAAGGTACATAAATGTCTGGTCACTGTGTTGTACACCCAAAACTAATATTGTGTGGCCACTGTAATTAAAACATAAAATTAAAAAGTTGGAAAGAAAAGGCCTCTTTCTTATAAAAATATAAGCGTATCTTTTCCTATCATAACTCAGGCATAGTATGCCTTCAGGCAACCAGCTCAGCAAAAACGATCAGCTGGCTCAAAGCTGGGACCTTCTTAGGCCTCCCGGCCGCACCTCCCCATTAGCGGGGACCCCTCTGCAGGAGGGCTGAGAATTCATTTGCCTGACAAAGAAAAACAACTTCTGGAACAGCCTGTCTGATAACCCCTCAGCACAGCTAAATGAAGTCTCAGGGAAAAAAATCCCCAACCCTCAGTTGGTTTTGAAGATCAATCTCGACTCCCAGGGACACACCCACCCTCCAGAATCTAAGCAACGCTGATGAACTTAAGTGCAGTTTAATATGTACTGCTTCCCCTGCAAGGAAGGAAGATATTTATAATATAAATAGGAGAGAGGAGGCTTTGCCTCATTTAGGCTGATTGGAAGACCGATGGCCAAGCTGGAAGACTGTGGACAGAGAAACAAAGCCAGCACTCCACTTAGCCAGAAGCACCTCTGCCGCGTTTTAGGTGGTGGTCTGAGGGATTAGCACGAGGAAAGAAAACTTTCACTCCACTCCAACCTTCTAATACGAATAAATACTCATTATGGAAGCAGCTAATATTTATGCAACGTTTCTTGGTGTTAGGCTGTATGCTAAGCCCTCAGTGATTTTCTCATTTAATCCCCACCATCACCTTGGAGGAGAACACCCATTTTGCAGAGGAAGAAGCATTAGAACAAAGTGTCACAGAACTGGCAAGTCATCAGGGAAGGGTTCAAACCCAGATAGTAGATGCTTCAGAGGTTGCCACCTTGGCCCTGACTTCCAACAACTTCTGGTTATTCACGGAAGCGAACAACACACGAAAATGTCGGTCACTTTCACAACAGCCATGAACTCTACCTGTCTCCCCAGTCTGCCACCAGCCCTCTGGGAGGGACATCAGGCCATCTGTGTCCTTTTAACCAAACCAACAGGGAAAAGAAGCCATGCAGGGCTGACATGAGACTGGCCTCCAGGTCAGGGAATTTCCAGCGTGGAAAGTGGAGGCTTGGGTTTGAAATCTGCCATCAAGAAGGCTCAGAGATCAATTATTATCGCCACTTTCTATCTTCACTTCCGATTGTTTTCTTTGCTCTCCTTTCTGTCACCTCATCACCTCTCCCCCAGTTTGCTGTGTTTTTTTACATTTTTAGTTTTCTTAAAAGTGAATGGGTCTCACTTGTAGCACCCACACCACGAATGAAAGGAAACCCAGGAATGGGAGGAAATTCCCCTCTCCTCCCACCCATAACCCTGAACTTTAGGGTCCAAGGGCTTGTTCATAGAGAGGACATCCTGGCCCAGGGCTGTGGGGAAGGGAAGGAGAAGCCAGGGTTGGAGGAAGCCAGAAAAAGAGAGTCCTAGAAAACTGAGTCAGCAGGAGACTTGGAAAGCCCAGAACACACAGCCCTGTACTTGCGGCTTGGCCGGCTGTGTGCCTGACACTGCATCTGTACCTGAGGGGAGGAGCTGAGCCGGGGCCTCGGTACAGGCCGGCTAAAAAGAATCAAGTGACTTGGTAAATGTCAGCACCACCCAGCCACCTCTGCCCTTTCCCCTTGACTTATCCTGGGAAGAGGAGTTGGGAAATATTAGGAAAAGGCGACAGTGTGCTTTGAAAACTACAGGTCAGTTCGAGACAAACTGGCAAGAGGATCTGAATGAATGGGCAGTTTCTGCACTGCCCCACTGAGTCTCAGCAGGTTCTTTCAAGTGAAGGCTGTTTAACCCTTTCACAGCTCAGGAAAAAGGTCTCTAGGCTTGCAGAGAGCCTGCCCACCACTATCCGCCCCTGTGGCTGGGTTCTTTGTGACAACATCCCCGTTTAAGTTAATTAAGTTCCAACCAAATAATGACTTATTGCTTCAAAAAGGCTTTAAAGAGGAGGGGGAGGGAAGCCAGGGACTTGCCTGCCCTACACCCTACTGGGGAGGACAATCTCTGCATCTGTGTTGAGAACAGTCCGTTGGGAGAAAAAAGCACATTTAGGCAGCTGGATTCGTCTGAGAATCCTTGCTCCCCGTCCTACCTCCCACTCCTGGCCAGCACTAGGGAGCTCACCTCTGGCCATAATCTGTTAACCTCACAAAAAGAAAACAGCTGCTTTTCACCACACTGTCCCATGACCAGTTATCAGTTCCCAACCCTCTTCTCTGCCTCTTTTTCCACAACCAATCAATTGAGCTCCAAAGCCCCAGCCCCAGGAGGAGTGGGAGAGGGTCTTGGGCTCAGAACTAGTCTAACTGGCTTCAGATTTCGGCTTCAATGCATTACCCGTCTAATTGTTGCCTGCTCAGATGCCCTTAAAGAGGGACTAGAAGTCAAGAGTCAGAGTCGAATGGGGCTAGAAGAAGCCTGTTAACACTGAACAATTGGCCCACATCAAAGTCGGGGGGAGGTGGCACAGAAACCTAGACACCCCAGGGAAGGGCCTCCTCTCACTGACACCAAGATCATCTTATCTCACCACCCTCCAGGAACCAGTGAACTTATAATAGATTTCAGCTTACTCCTGGGAGGGGCAGGAAATGGCTCCCCCTGCCCCCTAAGCAGAAAAAGAAAGACTACCTGACAAGGGAAACCACTCTTCTGCAAATGGCCACCTGCCCCCCAAGGGCCTCTTTCCTCCTCCACTACATCCAGCACATCTGTGCTCCCTCCCCAGTGCCCTTGCTTCCTCTCCTGACTGTCCTTGGAAAGAACAATCGTGAGCACAGCTGAGCAGTGGAGCTTCTTAAGCCCTGCCACATGTCCCGGATACATCCCTAGCCTTGTCAGCTGTCCGGATCTGCAGGGTGGCCTCAGACCCATGAAAGCCAAGAATATGCTGCCTCTCACATCATGTAACACCCCATACCTCCTGTGTAGGAAGGGGCTCCCTTACAACCAGGCCCTCCGACGAGGCGCCCAGCAGAACAAGTGTCAGTACCCGCCCCGCCCGCCCTGCAATGCTTGCTCGCTGTTCTACTGACCCTGGCCCCATGGGAGAAGTTCCTTCTCCCCATTCTGCAGATGGGGAGACTAAAGCCCAGAGCTTAGCAGGTTTCCTGGCTACCATCTGCTCTGACCTAGCTCCTGCCTTGATCTGGAAGAAGTAAAAACTATTTTCCTTAGGTTGCTCTTTATCACCTTTCTGGCTTTTTTGAAAGAGCAAAAATCTATCCCAATGAGTCACTGCTTTCCCTTCTGTCGGGGAGATCCGAGTTGGCCAAGAGAAGGAAACTTCTCCACTCTTGTGCTTCTTCTTCTGTCACAACACTGTTTCATCTATACCCCACATCCAAACTTCCAACTGGATCCATAGATTTGTGCAAGAATCCTTCCTCAAGTTTTCCTCATAAGGAAACTCCCACTTTAATAGGGACAGGATGGCGGGCATTATGGACTCAGAATTAACTAAACGCTGTAACTGCTATAACTCTCTAAGAACGCAGAACTTCTCTGAAGAAAGGGAGGGGACTCCTTTCTAAGCCTCCTTGGTACCAAGACCCGGAAGGCTTGTGGCAGCCCAAAACTGGGGGCTGGAAGATGTCACACCCAAAGGACTTTTAACATCAGCAGTTGGAAAAGAAGTCCCCATATATGATCCCCACGTATTAAACCCCAGAGTAGCAACCCCTCAAGGGCCATTTCTGGGGATGTTAATGGATGTTTTTTTCCGCCCTTAATTTTTAAATTACCGACTATCAATTCTTGCACTGAAAGGCTGCCTTGTTATTCAAATCAGTGAAACTCTGGGCAATGATACCCATCAGGTTTATGGGTGGGAGGGAGTAAAAGAGTTGGAACTGGGTGTGAATGGGACTTAGGGTGCAAGAGCCTTGTCTCTCCAACTATTCTGGAAGGATGAAAACAAAAATATTGTCTGAGAGGTCTAAATGGCCACCAGACCCTAGTTTCTGCCCTGCTTTAACCAGGAATCGGCCTCTTCTGTGTCTTGTCTCCTCCCACCAAGCCCAGCCAAAGCTTTTAAGGAGACCTTGCCATTTCAGAGGGTAATCTGGAAAAGGTCGTGGGAATGAGAAGAGCATTTATAGCCACAAAAAGGGAATGACTCCTGTGTTCAGAATCTAAAAAGGAAGACAATCAAGAGGTGTCTTTAAAGTGTTCCTTACCCTAGCTGACCAACATGTGTCCATCAAAATTTCAGAAATCCACCACCAAAAAGCCCCCTACCTGGCACTGGCCACACAGCTCAGCCGGTCAGTGTGTGCATTGCTTGGTTAGGATTTGCCTGGAGCCTGTTGGCAAGTGAGGACCCTCCCAAGGGCTGGGGAAAAAGGAAATTCAATTTCACACAGGACATGTCTACAACGTTCCCACCCTTCTGCTGAGAGAAGGGACCAACTGCAGCCTTCCTTTTCTAGTTGCCCCACACCCACACATGGAAAGGGAAAAAGCCTAAAAATTTCAGATGTTTATGCTCCATTTGTGTGAAGATCCAGAAAACTCTAAACGTTGTGAAATCACCAGTGCAATATTGGGTAGGGCTCAGGCCAGCCTAAGCTTATTCAGGTTGATAAACCCACATTTTCTAAATACTCTAGGCCTTCAGCTTAAAGCTTTGTATTTCCCAGAGGCTCATCAGAGAGATGGGAGAACGCTGGTCAGCTAACTAGACAGACAGCATGCACTTGCTCCTGCCCCTCCCCAAACTGGAGATAATCACGCCACTGATTTGGAGGGAGGAAAAAGGGGGTTCCCCACTGGGTCTGGCCACTCCACCGAACCCACACCTTTCAACACTAACCATACTGGGGTAACTCCCAAAGCCTCCTGCCCTCACCCAGGCCTGGCAATATGAATGCCCATCCAGCAGCTGATGAAATAAAGCAGGTAGAAGCTCTCCCCTCTCCCACCATCCAGCCCCTTCAGCCTAGTACGCTTCTCCCATCCATTGCTCAGCCATGCAACCATTTTCCGCCTCTCTGGTCTCCTCTGCCCACAACCCCCAGACCCTACTCAGAGAATTGAGAAACCGTCTTCTTGCACAAGAGCAGCTACTGTCTAAACGCTTTTTGATAGTCTATATAGATGGAACTGGGCAGAGCCCTGGCCCCAGTGATGGAGCCAAGCTCCAGCTGCCCTAACTGGCCAAAATCCGCCCTCGCCCCCCTTTCTCTGCCCCCGTGGCCTTGGCGATTTAGATTTCACAGAACGTACCGTCTCTATCCTCTCGGTGATGTCAAGCCTGGTACCACCAAGAAGGAAGGAGGGAAAGCGGGAGCCTTATCTCTCCTACGCACGCAACCTCTTCCTCCAGCTCCCACACGCCCGGCGTTATGTAAACGCACCTTCAGCCCCCACCACAGCCCCAGAGCGCCCGGCGCCTGGCACAGCTCGGTGCCCGGGGATAGGAAGGCCGAGGTGCCTCAGGCCCTGCAGAGGCCGAGAAAAGGAAAGGCAACTGCAGGGCTGTTGCACAGCATAAAATGAGGCAGCAGAGCAAAGGTCAGGCGGCGAGGAGTAGGTTCGCCGAAACGAGGGAGCAGAAATGCCCAGTCCCGGGCCAGCCCAGCGCTGACCATCGAGGGGAGAGGCAGAGAAAGGGAGACAAGCCTGCCCGTCACGACTCCGATGGGAAAAGAAAAACCTACGTCGGGCATAGGCCGCTACTGCGGGCTGGGGAGATCTACGGAATAACTGGCACCGTGGGCAGCGAGCCCGGGGTGGGCGAGCCGCCCAGGGCGAGGACGCCCGCTGGACTTAAAAGGTGGCTCCTTATGGAGCCCAGAGCCTCCTTTTCCAGCGCCAGAGCCGGGTGGTGGCGGGAGAAAAGGGGCCAGACCAGAGGCAAACTCCCAGGACACGCACGGGGCTTCCAGAGTCGCAGAGTGCGAAGAAGCCAGGCTTGGCAATGCTCGGGGGTTGGAAACGCCGGTGCCAGGCTGTGAACACCCCCGGCGCCGTGCCGGCCCAGCCCAGGGCGTCTGAGAGCTGCGGCGCACCGCAGCGGCTCAAGGAGGCGCTGGGAGAGGAAAGAAACATTGAGGCGCGCCTAGAAATAGCGCACCATTTGCCCCAGCCCGAGGGGCAGTCGCGTCGCGGTCCAGAGCGGGACACTTTCGGATCCCGAAACCGGCCAGGGACTTACTTTGAGGAGCCACAGAGTCACAAGCATTTCTCCACGTCTGTGCAAATCCCCTAACCAGAGCGGTTCAGACGGCGCTGTCCTCGCGGACGCCAGCCGAAGACACCGGCACTGCTTCCTGAGCTCTGCACCGCCAGCTCCGCGCTGTCAGCTTCCCTAGCTGCCTCCGCGGCGGTGTTGCAACCACTGCCTGGGAAAATGGCTTTTTTATGAATGGGAGGGAAAGAAGCTCCAGTGCGCACGCGCGCCGTTCGCGATTCTATGAATGGGTGGGCACAAGAGACCCCCGCGCGCGCATGCGCCACGCTTTTTTTTTTTTTATGAATGGGGGGCCGGAAAAGAACTTAACCCGTGATTGCTGGGGCTGACTCGCGCTCCTCCAGGGGCCGTCGTTTTTTACAGAGGGGTGGAGGTTGCTGCCTTTTTTTTTTTAATTAAATGAATGGAGGGCGGCGGCAACTGTCGCAGCGGGCTCAGCTGCGCGAACTGTGCCCCCTCCCAGCCTGCGAGAGGAGGTAAAGGCCACCTTCATGCCACTGTGGGCCAGGGCAGGAACCGTCAGTGTCGCTGAGGGGGGCGGGGCGGGGCGGGGGCACTGTGGCCTCTGGGTCCTAGGCCTAGAGTTGGGCGGGGGAGGACACACCTAAATTTGGAGATCTCTACCCGCTGCAGTCAGTCGTGGGGGCGGGGAACGGGAAGACCCCCGGTGGGGGCCTTCTCTTTCTCTAGACTCGAGGCGTCGGGGGAGGGGTCTTGAAGCGCGTTTACCCGAAATTAAGAAAACGTCAAACGTCCATATCAAAGAGGAGAGGAGTGGGGGTTACGGAGTGAATGTAGATCCTTTCCGGAGGCTGAGTCCCTGGACAGACCACCCCTCCCCCCCTTTTCTTGGGTGTGGACAGTGACAGGGCCGAGGCCTCTTCCGGCCTCAGTATCCCTCAGGGGCGATGGTGGCTACTCTGCGGAGGAGAGCTGGCTCTCTTCTCGCATCAACACTTTCCCTTCGCCTCATTGTAACGTCCGCAGTGCCCCGGCGGCCGTCCGATCTTTGCCTTACTGACTAGCTGCCCCCTTGTGCCTCCCCGTACGTTTCCCAGTCCTCTCAGGATGCGGGACTGAGAGCCTCCGTCTACCGACGGCCACTGCCCCCCGCTGCAGTAGTCGCTTTTCCCCAACCACCCCCACCAACTCCCCTCCAGAGAAGCGGGAGCGGCGGAGAATTGGCCAGGTGGATGGGTGGAGCCGGTCGCGCAGAGGATGCTGCCAGGGTGGCCGCAGGATTAAATAACAGGGCTCTTGAGCCGCAGAGGAAATGGAAATGGCCGGGGATCTTTTCTTTGCAGTTAATGTAGGGGGCCGGGGGGGGGGGAGTGGAGGTGGAGGTGGGTGGGGAACGTATCAGCAGAAGAGCGTATCAGTGGAAAGAAAAGGTCTCGCCATTAGGCCTAACCCAGGCAAGGTGGGGAGCCCTCGCAGCAGGCTCAGCTCCGCCCAGGAACCGAGGAGGCTGTAGCCTCCGGGGAGTCAGGGGTAGGGGGTCGCTTTGATGCGGGGATAAGAGCTGGGCCGGGGCCTGAATCCCCAGTGCGATTTGTCTTGCTGGTATTCTGGCTTCACCGGAAGGTTGTGAGGCTGTCTTTTTCTAACTACGCCACCATAGGACTGTGTGTGGCTCTTGTCAGAGGAGCCGATGACAGGCCTTGGGCTGGGGCTCTGGAGACAGGCAACGGAGGAACATTTTGCAAACCCAGAACAGAACCCAAGGTCACCAAGCCTCAGTCTAAAATGGTTTTTCCCTACTCAGATGCAGCTTTACAGTGCGATTGAGTCACTCAGCTACTGGGAGAGCAGGCCCTCCCTAGGGGAACCTCAGTCATCCCTCGGGGCCAAGGCCTTCCTTAAAGCCAAGAAGAAAAACTCTATATGAGGACAATAGAGTGTTTTACAGTTGTTCAGGTCTTCCCTTTGAAGGTATTAATTTAAGTTCAATATCGTTATTCCCGTTTGTCAGATACAGAAATTGAGGCCAAGGGACACCTGGTAAATGGAACATCTAGTAAGTTCTACTGCTGATTTTCCAGACCTCTGCACTTTTGTTCTTACTAGTTTGCTACTACCCCTCTTAGCATCACAAACCTAAAAACCTGTTTCTGGCAAGTCATTCAAGCATTTTAAGAAAGGAAGGTTAGAGCAGTAATTTTCCATCCACAAGTGCTCACAAGTGGGCCTTGCTCAAAACAAAAAGGACGGGAATAAGTAAATCCTTTCTAAACTGTGGAAGAAAGTCAAGGTATTGGGGTATTCACTGTTCTGCTTCTTTTATTGGAGGAATTAGCCAAGAGATAGTGTTCCTTCCACTTCTGGTCTTTCTCAGCTTTCCTGAAGAAGGAGGTAAGGAGAACTGAGGCCTGGTAGGGTGGTGAGAAGATGAATGAGCCCCCAGTTTTGAGCTGGAAGGAGCCTGTGATGCCTGAGCCCAGTGCAATTGTCTACGAGGGTACTGGGGACCATGTTCGGCTCTTACTTGGGACCTGAAGGGAGAAGAGATCTGAGGCAACTGTTATAAAAATTCATTCATTCATTCATTCATTCATTCATTCATATATTCTGTGCTGGCACCTGCCCTGATTCTGGAGACTCACTGGTGAGAGACAGACAGCCTTCCCTGCCCTTGAGAAGCTCCTAGTCTTTTAGAGGGACAGACAGAGATTTGAGGCCAGGTAAGTGCTAGGAGGGAAAAGTAAATAGAGTCCTGAGATATGGAGGGATGGGGAGAAGGACCTGATTTTAATTTGGGCACCAAAGATTATCTTTCCAGGAGAGAGCCTGGGCTTATGAATTGAGTCCAGAAGACAAAAGGAATAAGCCTGAGGGTGGTTGAGGAGACAGGTCAGGCAGAGGGAACCTGGGTGGAGCTCCTGTGTGGGAACAAGCATGGCCTGGAGGTGCTGGCCAGAGGCCTCTGTGGCCATGCTTGATGAGTAAGGTTGAAGTTGGCCCACTGAGGAGTTCAGATATTATCATCTTAATGGGTTTTGAGAAGGGTTGTGACACAGTCTGATTTGTGTTTTATGCCTCTCTAGCAGTCCAAGCCCCTGTGGGTGAGGGGACAGAAAGGAAGATGGTGGGGGAATGCAAAGCATTTTTTTCTTAACAGGTTTAAGGTGCCACATCCATTCTTTTGAATTGGGCAGCCAGTAGGCCTGTGCTGGATTTTTTTTTTTGCTACTTCATTTGACTTTGTTTATTCCAAAGCTGCTCTGTCTCTTCCCCAGGTATAAGTTTTCCGCTGCAGGCAAATCCTAACAACCTTGCATTCCTGCCCATGCTAATTACAATTTTTTACCCCAACTTCAGCATAGATGTCTTCAGCCCTACCAGACTGAGGCTAGGGAGGTAGAGCGGGTTTAGTTCCAGGCTTTGCCCTCTTATTAAGCTCCTGGCCTCGTCAGGGCCTGGGAGCTGAGTTAGTGGGAGTGAGGAGAGGCAGGAATTCCAGTTCAATGACAGACATTTATGAAGTACCTACTGTGTGCCAGACCTGTGCCCCACATGTTTTTCTATGTAATGTTGCTTTAAAGAGCTGTGTTCTGGGTCTTATCATTGCTCCTTTTCAGATAAGAAGTTAGAGGCTCTGTTTTAATGTTTATTAATGTCACAAAAAAGTTATTGCTTACTTCCGGTGTGTCACACAGTGCCAAGGTATTGGGATTACAGTGATAAAAGAGATGAACACTGTCGTTGCCCTCATCGAGCTCACAATTAGTGGTGACACCATGGTGGCAGCAGGGGTGGGGTGCAGCACCTTCATTTCTGTAGTCAATTGACATTTCTCAGCCTTCTGTCAAGTACGGAGCACTGACAGCCAAGTCCCCCAACCCAGATTACTTACCCCCACCTACATGGAAATTCTGGGACCACCTCTGTTTATAGTGAAGTAGAAGAAATAGGCATTAAACAAAAATTGATCAAAGAATGATTCAATCAGTTAACAGCAGTGGCACATTAGAGAGTACAGAGAGAAGTAGGAGGGGGCATATCCTGGGGGTCCTGTGAAGTTTCTCTGCACCTCAGATCTGCAGTACGCAGACTCAGCCGGGCTGGGCTCAGTGGCGGAAGGCCCAGAAGCTGGAAGGAGCTGTGGGAAAGCCAGAGCAACGGAAGGTAGCCAGGGGGACCCCGGCCCTGTGAGGAAGTGAGGGTGCATCAGACCCCAGTTTAGAACTCTGTTCTGGCAGTAGTACTATCTGGATTGGTGTTTTCAGCTGTTTCAGTGTTGGAGGCTCGAGAGCTTGTAAGACACGTGGGGATGCACTGACCGCAGACTGCTGGGCTTCAGTGCTACCTTTCCAAGCTCTAGCTATGGACAAGTTACTCAAATCTTATATGCCTTATTTTCCTCCTTCGTAATATGATAACTGATAGCATACTTACCACCAAGAGTTGAGTAGAACTTGAATAGAATAATGCACATAAAGCCCTTAGAACTGCTTCTGGCACACTATAAGTGCCAAATACACATTTAGATGATTATTTGGTATACTCAGCCATTTTGATACAAGGAATAAGTTAGAATTTTAAGAGAAACCCATTTATCTGGGTGCATGAAAACCTCAGGAAGATGCCTTGGCTGGTGTGGCTCAGTGGATTGAGCGCTGGCCTGCAAACCAAAAGGTTGCTGGTTTGATTCCCAGCCAGGGCGTACCCCTGGGTTGCAGGCCAGGTCCCTAGTAGGGGGCGTGTGAGAGGCAACCACACATTGATGTTTCTCTCCCTCTCTCCTTCCTTTCCCCTCTCTAAAAATAAATAAATAAAATATTTTAAAAAACCCTCAGAAAGAAAAAACAATCTAAAGTGCCAAGTGTTGTTTATTAAGGAATAGGTAAAATGACAGTAGTTGGACCATCATTGCTGCTTTAACCAGCACAACATTTGCAGGACAAAAGCTGTGGTATTTTCAGCTGTGTGGCTAGGTGTATTTGGTGCACCCAAGAGTTGAGTTAACCGTGGCCAACAATAGATGCTTGAATATCAGTGGCAGAGAGTGTAATATAATGCTGACTATATGCTGAGTGATGGTGTTTCGGTATCAGTCAGGGAAGGGGATATTACACACTTGGTGAGTTTGCATAATTCTTCGTGTCTTCTAGGTTCTGCTGTAAAAGGGATAGTAATAGTATCTGCTTTAAAGGATTGTCGTGAGCACCAAACACATGACGTTTTTCCAGTGCCTGAGCTCAGCCAGGTGCACAGCTATTTTTGTGGTCCTCTCATTGTTCTGTGGAAAAGGGAAATTGTGGAGATTTGGACTTGGTTATGATAGTACAGATCACTAGCTCCCTCTTCGCCATCCTTCCTCCAAGACCCTTGTTTTTATTCTGCTGAACAAGGCAATGGAATATATTACAAAAGAAGCATTCCTGACTTTACATAATTCAGGAATGATTTCTTCGTCAGTGTGAATGTAAAGTCAGATTTGCATAGTATCAACTTTGGCAACAGAATCAAGATTTTTATGAATGTATTTATATGGCACAGTTCAAATGCACATAAAATGCAAGTACACTGTCCATTTCAGATGTGGAAGCTCAATCCAGGACAACCAGTGTGAGCATAGGACAGGAGAGAAGAAAAAAACGGCCAAGAGTGAGTAGCCCCTTTGGTCCTTGCTTGCAAATCACAGCAATTCCCTGGTAACCAGGATGGGGACCCTGGGAGAAGCACCGGGGGATAAAGAGTGGATGTGTGGACTCTGGAGGGGGTGGTGCCTTTCTGGAGTCCCAGTCTTGGCTTTCACACTGCATGAGGCAGATGGGGTCTGTGCCCCTCTTCCTGACTTAACGGGTGTGCTTGGGCTACCTTTCTCCCCGGACTCCATTCATGCTACCTCATTTAGTCATTCATTCATTCAACCAATAGTTAAGTACCTTCTAGATGCCAGGGACCATGGCAGGCCCTGAGGATAAAACAGCAGATAAGTGCCCGGGCCAAGTATCTCAGTTAGTTAGAGCATTGTCCAATATGCCAAGGCTGTGGATTCAATCCCTGGTCAGGGCACTTACGTACAAGAAGCAATCAGTGAATTCCTAGGTGGGGTGGAACAACACATCAGGGTTTCTCTCTTCCTTTCTCTCTCTCACATCAACTTTAAAAAATACAACAAAAAAGAAAATAAGTTATAGAAATTTCTAAATGCAGTTAGTGTAATGAGGGGAGCAGATAATTAAAAGCAAATACTCAAGTAATAACATAATTTCAGATTTGGTCAAATCCACTAAATGAAGAATAAGGGATGTGACAGCGATTGTGGGAAGGAGCTGGTCTCCTTAGGGAGGTTGAGGAAAACCTCTCTGGGCAATGCAAAGGCTGAGGGACGAGAGCCAGGCCAATGCCCAAGAAGGAGGGCCCGGCGAGGAGCAGGGACGAGGGCAGGCACAGACTGGTGTGTTCCAGGAACCCTGACACCTCGGGTCTGAGAGTCCGTTTGCTCATCTCTGCCTGGAGACACGCTGGTCTCTTCCAACTGACTTGCACCACACTGGGGCTGGCCCAGTCTCCAGACTCTGGAGTACACAGCCAAGTGTACTAGCCTCAGGCACTGGGGAGGAATTTACAGCCGTGCTGAGCCTGTTTACCACCTGCCAGGGAGCTCTCAGAAGGCACAGGCTCTTTCTCAAAACCAGTTTTTACAGAGCCATGTGCAAAGCAATTCAACTGAGCGGGATTTTTTTCTTAATTAATCTTTTTATTGAAGTATAACATTACTTGAACCATATGAAACTGCTGATAGTCAAGCACTTTTCATCGTCGTACAAAGATGACAATTTCATGTGATTCAACATAAATACATTCAGAAAAGTGTGTAAGTGAGATGTGTACAACTCAATGAATTTTCACAAAGTGGACACAACTGTGGAATGAGCATCTGGGCCAAGAAGAAGCATTGCCAGCATTTTGTAGGCCTCGCTCATGCTATTCTGGCCGCTAACCACCGCATACCCTGCCTCTACCCATAAAGATAATCACTGTCTTGATGTTTAGCACTAAATGTAGCCCATTTTTAATCTTTCTATAAATGGAATTATACAGTAGGTACTTTTCTTGAAATTTATTCACAGTGTTACAGGCAGTTGTACTTTCTTTTTCATTGCTGTATAATATTTCATATGGCTATGCTACTGTATACTTATTCATTCTACTATTTGTGGGCATTTAGATAGTCTCCTGTGTGTGTTTGTTTGTTTGTTTCCCTTTTATCCTCACCCGAGGACATTTTTGCATTGCTTTTAGAAAGAGAGGTTAGGTGGGTGAGGGAGAATGACAGAAATATTGATGTGAAAGAGAAACATCAATTGGTTGCCTCTCACATGAGCCCCAACCAGGGACCAAACACACAACCTTTAGGTTTATGGGACAATACTCCAACCAACTAAGCCATCTCGACCAGGGCTCCAGTGTTTGCTTTTAACAATACTGCTTCTGTGAACATTCTTGAACATGGCTTTTGTTGAACATGTGTTTGTATATCTGTGGATATATACTGAGGCCTGATTCAGCTTTAGTGGGTATTTCCAAACAGGTATCCAGAATGGTTGCACTAATTCACACCCTGCACTGCTTTAATCAATGCCTCCTTGCTGCCTAGCTCTTGGACCAGTTCTGTGCGAAGGATGGGTATGGGGTGGGGTGCATGACACGATCCATAGGATGAATCTCGGTCTGTGTAGCAAGTGAGAGGACAAGTCTGTAGCCAGCTAGCTAGGCCTGGATTTGATCCTCTGTTTATCTGTCACCTCCATGACCTGGGGCAAGTCACCGGCACTGTCACTCAGCCTCAGGTCCTTCATCTATAAAATAACTGTAAGTAGAGTAGCTCTTCACAGGGTCTTTCACTCATTCCTGTACATTGTTTGTAGAATGCCTACTCCGTGTTAGGCGCTGTTCTTGGTACTGAGAATTCAGGCGTAAACAGGACAAAAGAGGCTTTGCCCACATGGAACGCATGTTCTAGTTAGGGGAGACAGGTAATAACAGAGCAAACAAATCATGAAGGTAATTTCAGATACATGCTGCAGAGGCAATACAACAGCGTGCTGTGATGAGACCATGACTTTGGGGGTGGTCGGGGAAGCAGGGAGGTAGTAACTGGGCTGTGGCCCAAATGACCAGAAGGAGGCAGCCATGGGTGGACCTGAGGGAAGAGCACTCCAGGCAGAAGGGCTGGCTGGTGCAGCGGCCACCCGGCTGGAGCAGGCTTGGTATACCAGAGCCACAGAAAGAAATCTGATGCTTCAGGAGCTAACTGTCTGAAGGGGAAGGGCTATTTGAAGAAAGGCAGCAGAAATAGGCCTGGGCCAGGCCCTGTAGGGCCTTGAAGACTATGGTAAAGAGTTGCTATTTTATTTTAGCATCAGTGGAAGTCATTGGAGAGTTGTAAGCAAGTGACCAACAGGAGCTAATTTACATGAAGATTAAAATAATGTATATATACAACCTGACTGATGTGGCTCAGTCAGTTCGAAATTATCTCACAAAGCAAAAGGTCACCAGTTCTATCCGGTCAGGGCACATGCCTGGGTTGGGGGTTCGGTCCCTGGTCAGGGTACATATGAGAGGCAACAGATTGCTGTTTCTTTTTCATGTGGTTGTTTCTCTTCCTCCCTTTCTCCCCTTCTTTCCAAAAATAAACAAATAAAATCTTTAAAAACCGTATGCATATATAAAACTTAGCAGAGAGTCTGGCATAGAGTGATGTTCAATAAATGTTAGTTGCTGCTACTGCTATTATTGTTATTATTGATGCTCTTAAAGAATCCAAAAATGTTCCTCCTCAGTGAGGATGAGAAAGCCAAAGCGCAGAGCCGTTACCATCCACGTGTAAAGTCAGTCAGTCACATCAGAGAACAGGATGTAGATTTTATTAATCAAAAGAAGTGCTCTTGGTTTCTTTCCCAAATGGGACCTTCAAGGCAGAGGATTTTCTCTGTGGTTAGCAATTGTCTGGAGCCAGCCAAACTCAGCTCTTTCAGCCCCACTTTACCAAAATGCCCACAGGTCAGTCACTTGGGAGCCATTGGTTATGGTCCTGCTGCCATTTGGGGCCCTTGGAAAGACTCATCTACTTTCTCTCTGCCTCTGGTGGGCTCCCCAAGAATGGGGAGGTGCTCCCTGTCCTCCACCTTGAGTGCCCACAGATTTACTGAGATGCCACCTACTATCCTGGCCTGGAGGCCCTTCCACCGCGTTCCCACCATGTAGGCAGCCCAGGGAGTGTTTTTCCATTCAGGAAAGGCCTTTGAAGGAGCTGCCTTTAATTCTGTCTGATACAGAGTAATGTCATGTTAATGATCTGTGAGTGAATGAATGCAAATTGAGTAATGAAACTGGGCAAAGCTTCTTAGGGTATATAACACTTGTTTCTGGGCCAAGTGCCCTTCTCTTAGTAAGGATGTTTTCATTCTTACTTTATCAGAATTTATTAAACTTCTGTTAGGTGTCAGGCACTATACAACAGTGAGCAAAAATGATGCCATTTTTGCCCTTATGGAGCGTCCAGTCTAGTGGACATGCATCAATCAAATAATTGCACAAATATAAATAGGAAATGACAACAATGTGCCCTGGCCAGTGTGGCTTCAGGGATTGAGCGCTGGCCTAGGAACCAAAGGGTCACCGGTTTGATTCCCAGTTTAGGGCGCATGCCAGGATTTCGGGCTGGGTTCCCAGTGAGGGGCACACGGGGCAGCTACACATTAATGTTTCTCACTCTCTCTTTTTCCCTCCCTTTCACTCTTTTTAAAAATGAATATATAACATCTTTTTTAAAAATTACAACAATGGGAATTGAGTCAAGTGTATTTCCTTTGATTAATAAAATCTACATCCTGTTCTCTGATTTGATTGACTTTATGCCTGTGGATGGTAATAGGCCTGCAGGAGATGTATTGATGCCCTGAAGGTATTGAATGACGGCCATGACTCTGGGAAAATGCCTTTAGTAAACGATATTTGAGCTCAGCCTAAAAGGACGAGTGGTGACAAAATGGGTTTGGAGAGTGGAATAAAAAGTATTCCAGAGGCCCTGGCTGGTGTAGCTCAGTGGATTGAGTGTGGGCCTGTGAACCGGAGGATCGTGGTTCAATTCCCAGTCAGGGCACATGCCTGGGTTGCAGGCCAGTTCCCAGTAGGAGACACATGAAAGGCAACCATACATTGATGTTTCTCTCCCTCTCTCCTTCCCTTCCTCTCTAAAGATAAATAAATAAAATCTTTAAACTGCATATGCAAAGGCCCTGAAGGCCCTGAGGTGGGAGGAAGGATGCATGCTAATCCAAGGATGTAAGAGAAAGCTACTGTGACTGCAGGGCCGAAAATGAGGTAGACTCTGGTCTGAGAAAAAGCCAGAGATATGGCAGAGGGGACAGATCACTAAAAGTTTTGAAGGCTATGGTAGGATACATAATTTAATCCTTCTCCAGGACTACGGGTTGCCACTAAAAGGCTTGAAGCTGCCCTGGCTGGTGTAGCTCAGTGGATTGAGCATGGGCCTGGGAATCAAGGGATCACGGTTCAGTTCCCAGTCAGGGCACATGCTTGGGTTGCAGGCCAGTTCCCAGCGGAGAATGCACGAGAGGCAGCCATACAGTGATGTTTCTCTCCCTCTCTCCTTCCCTTCCCCTCTAAAGATAAAGAAATAAAATCTTAAAAAAAAAGGCTTGAAGCTGTAGATGAGTGTATTCAAGGGAGTGTGTTACTCTGGCGACTGTGGAAAGTAGATCGGAAGGAGCCAAAATAGGTTCTGATGACTTTCCGGCCTTCTTTGGCTCTTCAGCCCCACAGGTGACAGTGGAGTGCTGTTTTCCCCAGTTTTAGGCTGCTGCACTCTCCGTATGATTTCTCTGCACTCTCCCCATGTTTGCAAACTATTCCTTTATCAGAGTCTCCTCAAATGATCAAATTTGTTCTATTGGACTTTATAGAGAAATCACATTGGCTGGATAAAGCAGAAGCAAACTTTAGCAACTGCTCAGCCTAACTCATTTGTTTTACTCATAACAAAGACATTTTTAACTGTATTTTATTTTCTAGCCAGTCTGATTTTTTCAATGCAGAGCATTACATTTCAGTTTGTATGCATTTATATGAGAATTGACGGTTATTGAAATAGTTAGATTTTTTTGTATTTTATTTTATGCTGTTTGTCCTGTGTGTGTGTGCATGTAAGACTGTTTTTTTTTTCCCCAAGAAGTTTTAGATTATATTGTAATAAAGTTGAGAGGAAGGTGCAGAGATTTCACGTATACCTACCTCTCCAGTGCTCTGGGAATTTTTTTGTTTTCCCTTCTACTTTTTTGTCTTTGGATTGAAGTTTTTTTTTAATGCATCCCATTTTCCCCCCATTGATTGTCTTGAAAGGTACTGTCTCTCTGTTTATTCTATGGATCCTGTAGATACGAGGTCTGTCCAGAAAAAGGCCAGCCATTGTTAATATAATGAGAACGGTTTGTATGACATCACTGTAACCTGGCAGCCCATGAGGGTGGACTGGAATGCGCATGTGTGAACAATGATGACTTCCCTGTACTAGTCAGTGGGGGAAGTTGACATTGTCGAGTGAACATGTGTACTGGTGACCATTGCATTCAAAATGACTGAGCAAGTAGAGCAACAAACCTGCATCAAATTTTGTGTTAAGCTTGAACATTTCTCTGTGGAAACTATTTGGATGATTCAGAAGGCCACAGTTATGGGCAACTGGTGATTGGCAGCTTCATCACAACAATGTGCCCACTCATGCATCACGTCATGTGCAGAGTTTTTCGGTGAAACATCAAATCACCCAGGTGACTCAGTCCCCCTGCAGCCCAGATTTGGTGCCCCAAAACTACTGGCTTTTCCCAAAACGAAAATCACTTTTGGAAGGGAAGAGATTTTAGACCATCAGTGAGATTCAGGGAAGTCCCACAGGGCAGCTGATGGTGATTGGGAGAAGTATGTCAGGTCCCAAGGTGCTTACTTTGAAGGGGACTGAGGTGTCATTGTCCTGTGTGCAATGTTTCTTGTATTTTGTATCTTCTTCGATGAATGCATCTATTTTTCATATTACATGTCTGGATACTTTCTGGACATATTTAAAAATTAATTCAATTTTTTCCCTCTTAACACAGAACAAGGACTTTAAACTACTTTACCTTTAACCCTTAAGTCTGTGCCTCCTACCTGCTCTCCCATTTATATTCTGTTGTAGTTTGTGTTTGTATTCTCTGTTTTCTCAGGACAGGTGAGATTACTATAGTTTCTTTATGCTGTCAACTGCCGTCCTCCTGTCTGAAATGAACCCACAGAATCTCCTGCAGTAAGGTTCTGTTGGAACAAAATTCTCTCCATTTTTGTTGGTTTGAAAATGACGTTCTGTCCTGGCTAATGTAGCTCAGTAGATTGAGTGCAGGCCTGTGAACCAGAGGATCGTGGTTCAATTCCCAGTCAGGGCACATGCCTGGGTTGCGGGCCAGTTCCCAGAGGGGATGCATAAGAGACAACCATATATTGATATTTCTCTCCCTCTCTCCTTTCCTTCCCTTCTAAAGATAAAGAAATGAAATCTAAAAAAAGAAGAAGAAGAAAATTACTTTCTTTCACCCTCATATTTAAATTCTTGAATAAAATTCTGATTGCCACTTATTTTGTCAGCAGATTAAAGAGACCCTTCTGGCTTCCGTTCTGGCTGCTGAAAGACCACCTTATTCTACCCTCCAGTGTCAGGTACACGGTTCTTTATGTTCGTTCTCTCTTTGTGTCTCTGGATCACCCTCTGGATTTCTTCATATCTGTCTTCCAGTAAACAAATTCTGCCTTTAACAATATCTAGTCTGTTATTTAATCCAGCCTAGTTTTCACTTCATTTTGTTTTTCAAACTGGCTTGATTGCCTCTTGTAGTCTTTTGCTCCTGGCAAATATATTTAAAGGTCACATTTATTTCTTAAAATATATTAAACATGCCCATTCGTATTCTATGCTTGATAATTCTATATTGCATATATTTGTGGGTCTGATTATGGTCTCTGTCGTTTCTGCTAGTTCTCACTTATGATGCCTTGTTTCCTGCTATGTTTTGTGATTTTTAACTTAAGGTTCAATTTCTTGGAATTTAATGGGCATTTCTTAAGGCATAGGTTGAAATTGCAGTCCCTTAAGAGAGGATTTTTTTTTTTTTTTTTTGCTTTTACCGGTTACTAGGGTTTATTCCTACCTTGAGCTCCTTAAATTAAATTTTCTGCTTGAGGTTTTTTCAGATTACATAGGGTACAGGTGGAATGAATTTAGTCTAAAAACTCATGGACGGCATGAAGGCTGGCTTGCAGTTATGTGAATTTTCAGGGGAGATTTTTTTTTTATTCCCTTATCAGGTATCAAAGTTGGTCAAACAAATTTCCTTGACGCCCCTTCTGTACCATGAATTTCTTTCTCATTCCCCCCACTCAGAGGTTGTAACTCTTTGTAGACCCTGTGGAGGGGCTTCTCTTAGACTTCTGACCTTGTGCGAGTTCCGGCTCTATCCCCTGTCCTCCTCACTCTTTGTATTCATCGAAATGGAAGCTTCAGATCACCAAGTTCGGGCAGATAGCCTCAGTCTGAGCTGTCTTGGGCACTCCCTTATGTTCCAGAGTTCCCATTTCATTTCTTTTTTGGCCTCTGTATACTCCTTACTTTTTTGCCTATTCAGCAAGCATTTTTGAAAAAAGTTAGACATTATGTAAATGTTATTCAATGTTTGGAACTGTTTTTATTGGGAAGGTCATCCAGGGGGTTCTGGCCACCATACTGTCAAACAACTGTCAGAAACTGAACCGATTCCTTTACATTCCCAGAGGAAGAGGTAGCATGATAGAATACAAAGAGTTGTGAGGCCAGACCACCCTGGATTCAAATCCACATTGAATTTTTGCAAAAACCCTGTGATATAGTTACCATTTTTGTCTTCGCTTTGGAGCTCAGGAAACTTGCCTAAGTCCACAGATGAAACCAAGACTCAAACCCGTGTAAGCATCTGGAGCTTGCGCTCCTACCCTCAGCGCTTTCCCACCTTTCTAACAGAGCAGACGACCCAGGCCCAACAACTCAGTACTTACTTAAACGTACATGTACTGAAATAGTTTATCGTGGGGCAAGATAAAACTAAAACACTGGACAACAGACAGTGGTTTTAGGATTCCGTGGAAGTTGCCCAGTTGGCTATGAGGATGAAAGAGAGGGCAGGATAAAAGATGACTCCCCATTTTAAAAAAATGAATTCATTGGAGTTACATTGGTTAATAAAATTAACACATACTAGGTTTCAAGGGTACCATTCTGTAATACATCATCTGTATATTGTAATGTGAAATAACCACATTTTTGAATGGGGACCAGTAGATGGTGTTTTTAGGGATAGGGAAGTCAGAAAAAGAGCAAATTGGTTTCTGTTTGTTTCGTTTAGTACCTCAGTTTCCTAATCTGTAACACAGGGTAGTTGGACTGACCACCTTCAGACAGTCTCTGGACCTCCGGAGGTTTGAGAATTGGCCAAACTATTCAGGAGGACTTGTCTGGCAGGCATTGGATTTTGGAGCTGGACTCTGGATGTGTCCAAGTCCCATGTGCGGGCATGTTGACTTGAATGGGAATTGGGGAGGGTAGGCACATGATAGTTTAAGCCGTGGAGATGAGTTTACGGAGGAGAACGGCCTGTGTAGGGGGAATGACTGCGTCCCACAGTACAGGGCTGTATTAGTTTGCAAGGTTTACCATAACAAAGTTCCTCAGACTGGGCGGCTTAAGCAACAGAAATTTATTTTCTCACAGTTCTGGAGTCCAGAAGTCAGAGATCAAAATGTCGACGGGGTTGGCTTCTTCTGAGGTGTCCGTCCTTGGCCTGTAGACGGGCTCCTCTCTGTCTCCCCAGGACCTGCCTTCTGCCAATGTCCTTGTTCCCTCCCTGGGGACACCAGTCACAGTGGGTTGGGGCCGCCCTAAAGACCTCGTTAATTGCTTTTTAAAGACCCTATCCCCCAGTACAGTTACATTCTGAGGCGTAAGGGGCTAGGGCTTCAACGTGTGGATTTTGGTGGAGGACACAATTCATCCCATGATAGAAGGAAAGAATTAGGGACTCAGAAAGGAGACGGGAAGAGAATAGAAGGCTAGTTACCCAGGGAAACTTAAGGAGGAGAAAGGTGCAGAGAGAGCTAGTGAGGAGCAGAAATGGTGGAAAGAGCACCTGGATTAGCAGTGGCAACTCCTGGGATCACCTCCAAGGAAGCCCCTTCAGTGGAGGTGGCAGCCGGGAATTTGGGGTCGAGACGTACACAGCACGGTAAGAAAGTGAGGGCAGGGCCAGGCCGCAGCGTTTCAGTTTCCCTTCCAGACGCAGTGGACACTCCAGGTACGTAATGATTGAATGTGTGTGTGACTCTCCTTTCCTCCTTCCTGTGATGTTCCACGGTCCCGGGGCTCGGTTTCTCTTTAAAACTCTAAGGTGAGCCTGCATTCCAACCTTGGCCCTGAGCTTCTTTGTCTTAGGTAGCTGGTCCTTCAGGACGAGCCAGGAAGAATAGAACATCTTTTCTCCTAGGAAGCCAGAAAGAGAGAGAGAGGAAAATCAAGTGAAAACCAAACCAGACCACATTCTCACTGAGCTACCAGTTTTAAAGAACACAATGGGGTGATGTGAGGTTGGAGAGACCTGGAAGGTCATTTCGCAATTTCCCTGTCTGCCCTCCAGGAATGAAGATGTTTATCCATTCATTGAAAAAAAAAGTCTTAATTAAGCACCTGTTCTGAAATAGGCACTGTACTAGGCAAGAGGGAGATACCAGGGAAGCAAATATCAAAGATTTATTGCTTGCTTTGTAGTGTCATGTCCTGTGTTAAGTACTTGGTGTACCTCCTGCTCTCAAGGACAGAAGAAGACAGGGACTGCTGGTGTTGCTTTTGCTTTTTTACAGGCAGGGGAATGGGCTAACTGAGGCTTAGCAGGGTTTGGTAACTCACTGTGGGCTCCAGAGTGATGAGTAAGCAACTTGGACACAGCCCAGTGGCACCTTTTTCCAGCCTTAGCTCCCTCAGGCCCCTGGGGTTTCTACCGAGTACAGTAAGTATCTGGCTGGGAGTCCTCCGTGAGTCAGGCCGAGTGACAGGTACGCAGTCCCAGTTCCTGCCATTCCATCCTGTCCTTGGCCTGAGAAAGGACACGGAGTGAAGGGACGGATGTGGGCTGGGATAATAATGTCGAGTCACTGCTGATGAAAGCCCTGTGTGTTCACCTCCTCCCAGCCACCACCTGAAGCCCGTCTCAGCTACTGTCCTCGTTGTCACATCAACATCCCTCCCAGGCCCACGGAAAACAGCTGGACTTGTGTCTCATGAACCAGGGATGTGTTTCCTTCCTTCTCAGAGGTGCGGGGTGGGGGGCGTGGGGGGCCTTCTCAGGGAGGGCTACCTGAGAACACAGCTGGATCCTACAGTCCTGTTCCCTGATGCTTGGGATTTCCTCTTTGCTCCCAGAGAAAGGGAGAAACATAGATTTTGTGAACTCCTATTATGCAGGCTCAAGAGGAAACAGCCCAGTGATCTCTTTCTTCTATTTTGAGGTCAGGAAGAAGGTGCTCATGCTGCTGACCGGTGAGTCAGTGGGTCTAGGAATTGAATGTTGTGTGTGTGTGGCCACCAGAAGCCTTAGAGACTGAAGTGACCCACAAAGATATCTATGCGAGGATGTTCATCATGGTATTTTAGAAGTAGCAACCTACGTACCCATGTAGGGGGACTGATGAAATCACTGATAGCTGCTTTCTACAAAAGAAATCCAAGCTGCCATTGTACAGCGTGTGATGGATCTATCAGGTGTGGGTACGGCAAGGTGTTCAAGGCTGGTTGTTCAGTGAGTAAAGCATGTCACAGACCAGTGTCTGTGTCTGCATATGTTTCTTTGTATGGCCACAGACACTGCCTGCAAATACACAGGAGAAACTGCTAACAGGTTACTTCCGGAGAGTAGGAATGGAGGTGTGGGTGGGGAGTGAGACTTTGACTCTTTACACTCTTCTGTACTTTCTTTTTAAAATCATGAGCATGTGTTGCTTTTATAATACAATGATGATAATAAAGACAAGTGGAAGAAAGAACAGCTTCAGAAGATTCACAGATCACAGGCTCCCACTCAGACAACTCTGCACTGAACCCAAGAGTGCTGAGGGCAGGAGGGATGATGAAGCGGGGCCAGAGATGCCCTAGAATGATGGGACTTGCCCCCAGCCACTGCTTGCAGAGATGTGCTTTGAACAGAAAGGGGCAGACACAGAGGTAGGGAGTGGAAGGAAGTCACTGTGTGCAAGGCTGACTCAGTGACAGAAAGCCTTATGCAAATTCGAGGCCAAAATTCAACTCCAAGAACAGGGGTTGGGGTCTTTTATAACAACAGCAAACATATTGAGTACTTACCATGTATCAAAGCAAGTGCAAATTTCTTTACTTGGAATTATCTCATTTAATCTCCACAGCAACCCTATGAGGTAGCACTGTTATCATTCCATTTGTATGGATGAAGATACAGAGGCTCAGAGGGTATAAATTACTTGCCCAAATATACACAGTAATTGCTAGGACTGGGATTAACCCAGGTCTGTCTGTGTCTGGGGCAGCCCTCTTATTACCTCCTGAATACTATTGTAAATTGAACTCTAAGGTGCCCTTAGGTGCAAGAACAGAACATCCTTACATCTTTGCCATCAATGAGCTGCCAGGTAGTTGGGAAAAAACCACACTAACCCATGTAGACTGTATAGTCTTACATAAGGTGTGTATCTGGGTTTAATTGGGCTGCAAAGATGATTAAATACTATTTGGACTTTAAAGTTGGGGACATTGGCAAGGCTTGAAGTTGTCAGTGAAGGCACGCTGGAGGAGGAAAGATTTAAACCAGGTCTGGAAGGATGGACTGAATTAAGGGTGAGGAGAACATTCCAGAGAAGAGAAGGCACAAACTATGTAAAGTTTGCTCTGAGACTGTAACATCTCTCTGATCCGAGTGAGTTGTATATGTGTGATAAGTGAGCTGGTGTGCATAGGGAGGGAAAAACAAAGCATTAGGATTAATTCTGAAGGTTAAAAACTGGCAGAGAAGTTGTGACTTAATGTGGAAGGAAATGAAGAGCCTCTGAAGGTGTTTGGGGCAGTAAAGAGACACGGAACAGTGATGCTTCGGAGACGTTAATCTGACAGGGGAGTTGAAGCGACTCGGAGTGAAGGAGGGAGCCTGTGGAAACTTAGGTGTGGCTGTTGGGGGCCTCAATGGCGAGAGTAGCAAGGGGGGGTGAAAAAGGAGGCTCAGTGTGAAAATGGCTGTAAAGAGAGAGGAAGCAGGGGACTTGATGATTGAAAAGAAACAGACTACGGAGAAGAGGGTCCAAGCCAAACAATTCTGGGGCTTCAAATCCACGGGGTTAAGAAGGGAATGCCTATATCTGGAACGGGGAATTGGGGGAGGGTTCTGGTTTTCTTTTGAGGTGGGGTGGGAAGAGATGATGAATTGAGTTTTTATCCCAAACTACACATTTCCCAAGACTGTAAGACAGTGTAGGGACTTTTTCTCTCTTAGTTTTCTCGGTGGCAGAATGCATAGGACTCCCTTTGGACCAGTTCATCCATTCAACAGCTCTTTATTAAACTGTCGTTATGGTCTAGTTGTTGGGAACACAGAAGTGAGTAGGGCAGACCTGGTCCCTGTCCTCATAGAAAGCAGATACTGAACAAGAAATTCTAAGGGTTCTTTCTAATGCTCCTAGGACCAAGGGGGCCTTTCTTCCCCCAGACTAATCCTGTTCTTTACCCCCAAATCCAGAGCATGCACCAGCTGGGAAGGGCATTTGTTAAACATTTTATTAGCAATTGTATCTTGTAATAAAAATTGCCACTACAACCATTGATTTATTTATTCCTTTGTTCTACAAATACTTGTTGAGTGTCACTGTGGCTCTGTATTTTCAGTCCTCATGTGCACAACCTGGTAGAGGACACAGACAAATAAACAGGTAAGGATAAGAGGGTTTAATGAGTGTGCTAAGGGGGTAATACCCAGGTGTTGTGGGAGGGACTGAGAGGGACATCTACCCAACTAGAAGGGGCAGGTGGCTGGGCAGGGAAGTTTCCTGGACAAGGATAAGGAGGTGTTAAGCTACATAAGGGCAGGAGGTGGGGTGGGGCTATGCCTTCCGTGCAAAAGGATATTTCTAGTTCAAAGACCTGGACACTAGAGAGACCTAGGCTTGTTGGGGAATGATTTACAACCTAGAATTTTATACCTAGTGAAACTACCAATCAAAATGTGAAAAAAGAATAAAGGAAAGACACGTTCAGATATGCAAGGTCTCAAAAAATATGTTTCCCATGTATCTCTTCCCAGAGAGCTGGTGGAGGACCTACCCGAACAAAACGGAGGAGCAAATCTGGGAAGTAGACACCCTGGGCGTAATTGAATGGTGTTCAGGTGGGCGGGGGTTGGATCAAAAAGTCTTCTACATGCACAGCAAGGAGTTGGACATCATTATACTGCCAGAGTTATACTTAGATAAATAGTAGGATGATATTCTAAAATAGTGATTTTTTTTCAAACATTGAATCTTAGGGACACTTTTGAGCAACATTGATTGGCTTCAATAAGAGACAATGGTTTTAATCTGTTTTTCATATTTTATGTTCCTTTGAAAAAAATTCTGTTGAGTTTTAGAGAGTTTGGGAAAGTCTAGAACTGTGTATAACTACTACATAAGCAGCCTCGTGCAATTTGGTGTGGCCCCCGGAGTCAAGAGGTTGTAGGAACTTTAAGGCCTGGGGGCTCTGAACGGTGTGGGGCGGCGTGACTGTGGGAGAGGGGAGCTGTGCGGGGCGGGCACGCGGCCCAGCTGTGAAGTTTCAGCACGACTCTGCTGCTCATTTTTCCTTCTGCGGCAAAGGTGATCCCTGGAAGAATATTCTACCAGAACAGATCTGCTTACCAATTAAGTGCTGAAACCGCCTTCACCAATGACTTCCAGACTACGAAGAAATAAGTTTTTTAAAGTGCAAGCACGGGATGGGGGAAGCACAGTCTGAGCATGGCTCCTCTCCTGCTGAACTTGCCGCAGCTGGAATGAGGCAGGTTATGGGCACGCGAGTGTGCCTGGGAGAGAGAGCGGCGGAGAGGGAGAGAGACTGTTCAGAGGGCTCGGAAGAAATTTATGGGTACGTTATAATATTTTAGCAAATCATGGTCGAAGCCAGAGCAGGGATCCACATGTTCCCTAAATGTGAAGCCAAGCAGAACCTTTTATTTATGAATTCAGCAAACAGATGGTTGTTTTCTTTTTCATACCTGTGTTCCAACTACAATGATAAAAAGTCAGGCCAGAAACCAAGCAGCATGTTGTGGTGTTCACTGGTTTTGCTGGCCATCAAAAGGGGTGTTGCTCAGTTCATCAGCTGGGAGAAGCCCTTCCCCACCCTCCGCTGATCAACCTCTTTGTCTCCCACTAAGCAAGTGAATTTTAAATACCGATCTAAAGTTGTTGGCTGGTGACCTGGAAAATTCCTTTTGCTTTGTTATGCTGCTAATGGCCCATCAGTTAGTTTAAGCCTCCTACTCTAGAAACTTTCTTTCTCCTAACTAGGCTGAGGAAGGCAGGAGCAAAAGTTAAAAAATGAATGGATTCCTAAGGGATTTGGGAAGACTCAAAGAATATCAGGCGTAGGTGAAGGGAAGGAAGGAGTATAATTTGTCTTTATCTGTATGTACAGCATCTGGCACGAGGGCCTTACTGAATGGCTGCAGGTGAAGGTGATAATTTTTTTAAAGATTGTATTTATTTATTTTTAGAGAGAGGAGGAAGAAAGAGAGAGAGAGAAAGACATCAATGTGTGGTTGCCTCTCGGGTGCTCCCCACCGGAGACCTGGCCTGCAACCCAAGCATGTGCCCTAGACTGGGAATGGAACCGGTGACCGTTTGGTTCACAGGCCAGCACTTACTTCACTGAGCCACGCCAGCCAGAACTGAAGATGATCATTTTTTAATGCAGTAATAGCTCAACCATGCAAGATTTTGGTGGACACAGGTCTTCTGAAAGACCTTTAATTCTGGAGGCCAACACTCAGACTTATGTCTGAGATGTTTTAAGCTAGTAAGTGTGTGAATGCTGATGATAAACCTCAACACTCAGGCACCTTATTCTCACTTGAAAGGTACAGTTAATAACTGCCTTGAATCTCATTTTTGTTAGTTATAAAGCCAAGAATTACCATCGACTGTGTGTGCTAGGTGCAGGGTTCGAGACTTTTCCTATATCATCTCTTTTTAGTTAAATTTTTACTAAAAAACTCTTTGAATTAAATACTATAATTATTCCCATTTTAGAGCAGAGGAAACTGAGGCTTAGTGAGGGTGGTAGAGCTGAGAATCTACTGGGTTCTCTGTCCTTTTAGCTCATGTTCTTCATCAGGACATTATGCTATTTATAAACTGCAAGGATCTAAGAAAACATGAGTAAGAGGAAGTATAGAATGGCCCAGCAGTTCCTCCTCAGAGCATGGCCTTGTGCCAGTCACACCGGCCACGAATTTGCTGAGTTCTCAAGTCCTCACTAGCACAGACAGTTCTGCCTATGTACGTTGTTACAAGTGGACCACTGCCCCTAGCTTTGGGGATTTCTGGAGTAAGGTTCAAACTGCACAAATACTGTTGTTTCTCATCAGGTCTTGGTCTGTCAGATCCATTTCTCAGCTTCCAGAATAACAGGTAGACACGCAGAGAAGTCAGAGCCCTGGAATACCGCTGCACGCCCTGTTCCCACCTCTACTGCCAAACGGCGCCTTGGGCAGCCTTTCCCTCTCAGATGAGCTCTGTCATTTCTTATATCAGTTGGAGCTGGCAGCTCTCAAACCCACCTCCTGTGGGACACTCGCTGACCAGAGGGGAGACAGCTGACCAGGTGAGAGACTGCCACAAGAGTGCCACGCTAAGGAGAAGACGACTGTGGAAGAGCAATGGGACCATTCACCCCCACTGGGAAAATCTGCACAGATGACGTTGCCAGGAGTCTACCCTGGAGACAGTTCCCAGGATGGGTTTTTATACTCTCCCTTTTAATATTTATTATTGTTATTTATATAGAAGTACCTTTATCTTAGAAAGTCAATACATGATTGTTATCATTAATATAGACATTAAAGCACACCATTAATACAACACACTCCATCCCAGTGCCCCCTTCCCTGCCACGCCCATGTATCTATCTGCCCAGGCGTCAGCAGCACCACTTTGGAGTCTGTCCTTCCCCACTATTCTGCTGGTTTCTTTGCTCTCTCTCCGTGCCTATGTGCATGGTGCTTATATAAATATCTGCAAGAAGATCCTATTGTGTACCTTGTATACCACAGGCAAATCTCTCCAGTTTGTCCATGCAGCTCTCTTCTCCTTTTTAACAGCAGCAAAATGTTCTACTGTAAAACTAGACCCTCCTTTTCTTCTACTGTCTGTTTTAACAGGGCTTTTACTTCCCTGGGAAACTTATTTCAGCTCCCACTTAGCACACCTCCTCTGGGTCCTGCCTCAGGACCTGCTCAAATGTGAAGATGGTCAGGGTGAAGAGGGCAGCGGCAGGTCCCACACATGAGAATGTGGGCATAGGTGATTGTAGGCTACCCTGGCCATGCTGGGGTGCAGTCTCTCCTCACCCTGCCAAATGGTTCTTACGCCTGGTTAAAGCAAACCTTCATGTTTTGGGGGAATCATCTTTGAAAATGACCAAGAGGATCAATGCAGAGAAATTTAGAAGTCTGTTTTCTTAGGGTTACAACCTCTCCCGTGGGACCTGTACTGGGACCTGCACGCTGGCCACGCACACTTTGGGGCCGTCAGAATGCCCAGAGGTCATCCAGGCCAGCCGCCTGCCTCCATCCAAGATGTATGAGTGGTCCTAAAGCACCCCATTATTTTCTCTTAGAAGCCACTGGTGTTTTATACAACTCTGTTAGGTAGAAGTTTGCTCCTTGTCTCTGGAAAGACACTGCAGCTTAGAGGATTTAGGCAAGACCACTCATTAGCCAGCTGCATGCCCTTGACCAAATTTTGTGTCTTCTTTGTACCTCAGTTTTCTCATCCATGAAAAGGAATAGTAGTACCTATATAAGTTGGTAGGGGTTTTCTTTGTGACTTAAATGCTGTAAAATGAAATATAAACGTAGCATATTTGGTATATGATACACTTAGTGGATGCTAAGCACAAGATTATGTGCTGATTATACCCTGAACTCAAACAGTTCTCATGGTGCTAGAAACTCACACTTTACAGGTCACTTAGGTCACTGGCTTTTCACCCTAACTGTACGCTAAACTCACCCCGAGATCCTTTAAAAAAATGCCAATGCTAGCCCTGGCTGGTGTGGCTCAGTGGACTGAGCTCCCGCCTGCAAACCAAAGGGTCGCCAGTTCGATTCCCAGTCAGGGCACATACCTGGGCTGCAGGCCCAGTCTGCAGTGGGGGGCTCGTGAGAGGCAACCACACATTGATGTTTCTCTCCATCTCTTTCTCTCTCCCCACCACAACTCTGTCTATAAATAGATTAAAAATCTTAAAAAAAATGCCAATGCTCAAGCCCTGGCCAGGTAGCTCAGTTGGTTGGAGTGCCATTCTGTTATGCCAAAGTTGTGGGTTCAATCCCTGATCAGAGAACATACAAGAATCACCCAATGGGTGCATAAATAAATGGGACAACAAATCAATGTTTCTTTCTCTTTTTCTTTCTTTCTCTCTAAAAAATCAATAAAAGTAAACAAAAAAACACTTAAAAAAATACCAGTGCCCAGACTCCATTACCAGAGGGTCGGATACTCTTGGTCTGAGGTGGGATCAGGGAGGAGTATTTCTGAAACCTCCCTGGGTAATCCTAGTTACGCCCAGGGTGCGGCGAACCACTGAATTTCTTTCAGCGCTCTCGTTTTGCAAATGAAAACACTGAGGCCTAGGGCAGGGAAGGAGCTTGCCCTGGTTATTACAGTAGAAGGACCCAGGTCTCTCTTACCTTGGATGTCACTGTGGCTCTGTGTTTTCAGCCCTTATGCTTACCAACCAGTAAAGGACACAGGCAAATAAACAGGTAATGATAATAGGGCGTAATAAGTGTATCCAGGAGGTAAGCCCCGGGGTGTTCTTCAGGTGGACCCTGGGACTCCTCAACCAATTCTGTGCAGGGCTCTGGAGCCGCCTCTTCACCCTTCAGCTCCCAAGTCAGTTGGTCACCTGCCCCGAGAGTCCTCCCCATAGAAAGCCAGTTCTAGAAGATGACCCTTTTATCAAAGCGCTACAGCGTATGAACTAATCCTGTTCGTTTGTTCGATCGTTGATGCATTCATTCATTTTCAGAATCTAAGCCCCTTGGAGTAGGGACGGCGTCTGGCTTGTTCCTGCTGTGCCAGGGCCTAGAATGGTGACCAGCGCTTAGTAAAACATGCTCATTAAATGACTGAATGGCCGAAAT